GTATTGGGTTAGCTTTGATTATTGATAGAGATGTTCGCCTTGGTATTTTAGGGTGTCCAAATTTACCAGTAGATCTTAAAAAACCTAAGGGTGAAAAAGGATGTTTATTTGTTGCCATTAAGGGGCAAGGTGCTTTTCAGGTAAAAATAAATAATAATAATAATAATAATAATAAATAATTCAGCTTTTACAATTCATATTTTTAATCTTTTTAATTATGAATTAAATAATAGCGTAGTTTTTATTCAACAGAAAAAACACAAATCCGCCTTGCAGATATTTCATCACCATCAGCAGCCTCATTTTGCAAATCAGTAGTAGCCGAACATTCTTCACACTGTGATGCGGCAAAAATTGCATTGTTACTTGGAATCACAAAACCGCCTCTCCGCATAGATAGTATGTGTAAATATTGTGCTGTTGCGAGAGATGATGTAGATATTTATCTAAGACTACCTGTCCATGTTAATTATGAGGAGAATATCTGGGTACATATCATTAGGAGTTTATACATTTTTTGTACTAGTATTAATAAAGAAAGTTTTTTTTTTTTATTAGGATCATGCAGCTGGATACATTCTTATTAAGAAGGCAGGGGGTATTGTTTCAGATATTAACAATAAACCTTTAGATTTCTCTTTGGGAAGAACTTTAAAAAGCAACAAAGGAGTCGTAGTTGCACATTCTAAAATACATAGACAAGTTATTGACATGGTTCAGCAAGTCATTTTAAAAAAACAGGCAATAATCACCTAGAATTATTCATAATTATAATAATTCAAAGGATGCATAATCCAAATACTGTATATATACTTTTTTTTAATAAAAAAGAAAAAAAAAAACTCATCTTAATAATTTCCATTAATAAAGATTGAATATAAAATTTGCTTTAATTAAATATACATTTATATAATTTGGCCATACTCTAATTTAACCTTAATCTATACTTTAAATCTGCCTAATTTTTTTTTCTAAGTTGGCCAAATTTATTCTCTTAATTCGACTCAAATTCATGTTCTAATCCTGCCCAAATTCATTCCAAATTATGTCCGATTTCGGCTCAAAATTAGACCCAAATTTTTAATATATCCCAATTAGGGTTGTAAAATTATCGTAATTTTGCATAAGTTTACAGCTTGCACTGGTGAATGGGATGGGTGTCTTTTAGCATGTGTAACATGCGATCTTTGATAATTCATATGGGCCGATTTTTTTACTGATTTAAGTGATGTTTTTACTTCCAAATTGTGTAACA